TAGGGGTCCAATACCTATAAAGAGAAATTGCTCTTGATTAAATAATTCTGAGGAGCATTAAAGATAGGAAATTAGGTTTATAAGAGGAGTTGCTTTGCTGCCTCTAGGCTCCTACAGCAGAGGGATGGAGCATCATGATCTTGAGGCAGCAGAATATTTCTCAGAGTGAAAGCTGAATCAGAAAAAAATCCAGAGAACAGACAGTGAGATGGGCTGACCGTCTTGTCCTCTCCTGACCCCCTAAGGGGTTGCCCTTGGCTCCACCCAGTGTCAGCTGCTTGGGATTTTGCTAGGTCTGTGGCACTTCCATCCCCCTGCACAGGGACCAGGTAATTGCCCGCTGCCTCAGTCTTTAGAAATTGGGGACCTAGAGGAAGACTGACTTCTGCTTAAGGAGTGGTAGAGACCACATGAGCATCAGCCGTAGCTGTCTCAACCTTTGTCCAGGATGACTTGGCTCTTGTCCCAGGGGTAGTGAATCAAGACTCAGCCTGTCAGGGAAACCAAAGCAACAGGCTCCAAAGAGGTGAGTTTTCAGTGGGAGAGAGTCAGAAAAAGGTGATGAATTGTATAATAAAGCCCTTTGTAATCTACCCTCCTCTGCTTATTTCCCCTGGGACTGTGAGTACACTGTAGATTTTTCTTATTTATCTTTTGTACTAAGTAAGATCATTTCTCTAACTCTCCCATGAAGAGGGTGTCTTCTGCGGATGCCTCTGTAAGGACAATATTATGATCTAGGGTGTGAAGATTGTCCTTTTGGATGACTTGTTTCTGAAATCAGTAATTCAACAATCCAACTATTGGCATCCCAACCCTGGGAAATGGTGATGGCGAGGGCCATTGTACAGTGAGCGAGCTGCGGGAATGCATCTGCTGTCTTCACAATCCCAATAAAAATAGACTGCCGAGGACAGCTGATGGCACTCCCAAGCATGCCTGGGCCCAGGCTGCCTTCTGTCAACAATTTCATGCCATTTCAAAAGACTGCAGTATTTTCAAATGTTCTCAAACATTGTTTACGAAGAATATCAAGTGTCCCTAGATTAGCCTCTGGTCTCCTTGTCTCAAGTAGTCTCATAGCCTGGTTAAATATATTCTTAAAGTCGTTGAGGTTTTAAAAAATTATTTTGTAAAGGGCCATTATGGCTCTAGGATTTATTGAGTTGAAGCACTATAGCAGAGAACTTCAGGTATCCAGAGGGTTACAGGACATTCGAAGTAGTGTCTGGGCGCTGTGGATGCTCTCTCAGCCTGTGAGCCACAGGTACAGTCATAAAGGAAGGCAGACCCAAGTGCATGATTAGTCAGCAACTTGGTGTTCTGGAAGGATGCCAGATTGTCTACCCCGGACCATTCCTGGGTTTCTGATATTACAGTTTTTCCCAGAGAACACTTGTGTCTTATCCCTGAGGGAATACTGTTGTGCAAGTACCCAAGAGGTCTGAACTTGAGACCTTCTCAGCAATATGGAAGTCCTAGAAAAGTAATAAAAGTCCATGGTAGTTCCTCAAGTGCAGCTATGAGGGCCAGCACTGGCCTCCTCGATAAGAGTTGCTGATTACTTCACGGGGCCATTATGGAGAGCCTTTTTAAACTGGCCTGCTGGTGTGTTCACCCATCTCACTGAAACAGAGGATGTCTCTGAAGGAGAGTGAACCCCTGCCTGAGAGCGTGGTCTCGAGATTTAGGGGGAAACTCTAGATGTTCAGAAAAGAGACAGGAGAGGGAGAGGATTGGGTCCCTGAGAAAAAGGTTTGACTTAGCCATCAAAGGCAGGCCCCCGTGTCTGAGAAAGCCATTGGGATAGCAGCGTGGGATCCTCTCTCTCTTTTTCTTTCTTTCTTTTTCTTTTTCCGTGCTGGAGATTGAACCCAGGGCCTCCCACGTGCTCCCACATGACTCCCCATGCCCAGTGAAGTAAAGACCAACCCCAGGAGCCATTCCTTGTAGGCAGCCTCCAGACAGTCTCCTGGGTTCCAGCAAAGAAATGAGGGGAAGCCTCCAGAATCTGCAGAGCCTCCAGGGCAATGGAGATGGGGTGTGTGTTTGTCACAGTCTAGTTGATTTGAAAACCCCCACTGGGCTCATTTTAAGCTTCTCAGCCCTCCTCATTATTATTTTCTTTCCCTGTTTCCTGTTTCCTGTTTTCCCTTCCAAATGACTGAGCATTCTTTAAGCTCAGAAAACATCTGAGTTATAATTTATGCATTTTATTAGCAACTATTTACATATAAATGAGTATGAAAAGTGATTAATGTAAACAGGAGGTGCAAACCAAAAGATTAACTTGGTTCCGATGGAGGTTGCAAAGGAGATAACTTGAGAAGACCCTTCCTATGCTCTAATGCAGCTTTCCTGTGAGTCCCTTCTGGGCAGTGGGTGAGCAGGAGACAGTGGGGAAAAATAGAGCCCCCCACACTGAGGGCATTTGGGGGGACACTCCACAGAAAAAAAAGCGCAGAATATTGGGATATCAACTTCCTGGGCTGGCCCTCTACTGCCTTCTTTTTTCTTTGCAGTTTTCATATTGGTGTCTTTTTACTCTGCCCTCTGGGAGACTTTTTCAGCTTCGTTTTTCCAATCAGAGTTTTGTTTCTCCCATGAGTCTGTTGGGTTTTGCTTGGGGAGCGGGTGTGTGTCCACTCTAACTTGGTAGAACTTCAACTCCAAACTCCGCCCTCCGAGGGCTCCACACACGCTGGGGTCACTGCTGGGCTCTTGGAGCCTTGGGCTGATGATTCCCAGGGCTCCTCCGTCTCTCTCTATCCCTAGGTAGTTCAGAAATCAGCCAGTAATTTGGGGGGAACTGGCCTGGGCTCCCCTTGTCTGTTTTCTTTCCTTTCCAAGATCTCCTCCCTCAATTTCCAGCCACCAGCACTGGTGACCTTGACCTCTCCCCTCACTCCTCAGCCTGAGCTGTGGAAGTGCTCCAGTGGAAGCCGGTTCAAAGTGGTTCTCACCTACCTCATTTTGTTCTGGGGTCACAGCCTTTCCGATTTTTGTCTTGTTTTGGCTGCTCTCCCATACTTCCAAATAGTTGGTTTCATGTTTTGTCCAGAGTTTGTTGGCTGCAGGGTTAGCCATGTATAAATCAGCCTACCATTATAGAAAGCAGAACTCCTCGGTTCTTCCATGAGCTTTGTTTGTTTTAGTTGTAGATGGACACAATGCCCTCATTTTATTTATTTATGTGGTGCTGAGGACCGAACCCAGTGCCTCATTCGTGCCAGGCAAGCGCTCTACCACTCTTTTCTGAACATCTAGAGTTTCCCCCTAAAGCAGTTTATATAACCTACAGTAAGTTCAGTAAAGCCCTCCTTCTGTGAGCCCCTTGGTTCTCTCATTTGAATAAAATAAAATTAAATAAGTTACTGCTTATGTTTCGTGGGTACTTCTTTGAGGATATTGGTAGTGGTTTTTGTTCTTAGGTTTTCCTCTCCATGTATAGTCCAGTTTGCCTTCTTCCTGGCTCTTTTCTCAGAGTGTGGAGTTGGTCTGTATTCCGGGAGCTCTGTAGGAAGAGCGCTGCAGGCGCATCATTTAGTAGGCCTGCGTTCACTTCATCTCTCTGCCTCAAGTGGGCTTTGTGCCTTGCCTTGTGCCTGAGACCCTTAGTTTTGTCCTCTTCAGAGCATAAACATTCACACTGGAAGGAGGTCGGTCGACAGTGGCCCAGGGGTTAGAAGTCAGTTGAGCTCTGGGGCTGTTTCAGCCTCCCTCCCCCACTTCCAGAGCCCTTTGACGACTCTGGGGACAAACTCTGCTCTTGCCTTTCCATGCTCCAAGCCTCAAGTCTGGCTTTCTGGGCGCGCGGTCTGTGTCTTCTGCTTCCAGCCTCCGCAGTCCCAATGGCAGTTTCCTCCGCTTCTTAAAGGGAAGGAAGCCACCTCAGAAGCTCATGGCTAGAAGCCTTATGAGAGGTTGCTCTCTGTGCACGGACTGATTAGAATGCAGAAGCTCCAAGCCCCTGGACTTCAAGTCCTTTAAGTAGCCAAAGCAACAGAGAACATTTTCCAAAAAACAAAATAACTGCTTATTATGAGTCAGGATTAATACATACAAAAGTGGCAAATGTACATGAATGCATTTGAGAATAAGCAAAAAAGGGAAATGATTTGGGCTACATCTGAGTCTAGGAAGGAAACCTGAGACTCATTAGACCTTTTCCTGGGGCCCTCTGCCAATGCTGCCATGCGGGGACCTCTGTATCTGGGGACTGCAGGTGGCTTTTGTTTCTTGCTTCAAGGAAACGAAGTGGGCTGGGGGAACTCTGAGCAGGGCATGGCGAGGTGGTCGCCTTACAATGGCAGGTGGGAAGCACTCCAGCTGGGATGCAGAGAGATGGCACATCTCGACTTAAAACCATGGCCAGTGTAGAGAAGGCGGGTGTTGAGCTTGGCTGCCAGACTCTGAGCTACTTAGCGGGGGAGAGGGTTACCTTTGAAACTGAAGCAGGTAAGTTTAGCACAAATTTACCATGGTGGAATTCAATACAAATGGCTCTTCTGGCACGTGGTTTACATTCTTCAGAGCTTTAGACAAATGGGTGACAGAGTCCTCCCCCCACCCCCGCCGTCTTTTCTGCAGAAAAGGGCTGGGCGGGGGGGACAAACTTCTGAGAGATACTGATGTGCATAGCCTTCAACTTAGACACTGAAAGGGGCAGCGAGTTCTTACTGGGCTGTTATCAGAATACTGGGCTGGAGGGATGATGTACTGTTTGGTATAGCAGGAAAAACTTGACTGAATTAAGAAGATCTGTATTCAGATCCTGACCCCTGGCCTTACTCACCTGTGTGACCCTGAACAAGTTCCTAACCTTTCTAATCCTCCCAAGGTTCTGGTGAAGGTTAAATAAAGCAGTTATATAACCTACAGTAAGTTCAGTAAAGCAAATGTTTATTGATCCCTAAACTGAATTTATCTGATTCTTTAATATATTTTTACTGAGCCCATATCAAATACCAGGCTGTGTACATGTGCCTTCCCTATTCTAGAAAGGCTCATGAAGTGAAGGCACAGCTCCACTCCATCCTGCAACCCTTCCTCAGCGTGGTACAAGGCTGTGAAGGTGAGCGTCCCTGGGTCCTTTCCTGGCTGCAGAGTGCATGATGGGAGAGATGTTGTCTGAGCAAAAACCCCCTCCCTCCCAACCACTTTCCTAGTGACCAAGGAAAAGGTCTCACTGCTGCTGGGTCGCATGAGCTGGTGATGACCCAGCTCACAGGCCAGGTCTGCTCATATATGCATCTCTTTGCAAAGCCCTAGATGCTGAGCTTGGAGAAAGGAGAGTCGAAAGTTTGGGGAGAAGTAGAGGGGCATAGGAACAGGTTCTGACCCTGTGACACTGCTGGGGTCCGAACTTCACTCCCCTCTACAAAGAATGTGTCCACAGGGGATGTGGCTCAGTGGTAGAGTGCTTCCCTGGTGTGTGCAGAGCCCTGGGCTACATCTACACACACACACACACACACACATACACACACACACACACAGGGTGGTCATCACCAGGGAGTGCCCACGTCATGATGATTAATTATGATTTCTGAAGATAGGATTGTGCCTCCTCCCTGCCAGCTGTGCTCCCTGTTCTTTTGTCTCAGGGAAGTTCCCCAAGGTCTGGTGATAGGTGTGGAAGGGCCTGCTGTGCTGGGCCACCTGGCTGTGTTCATTCTGTCTGCCCATCCAAAACCCACTTTCCAGATGCTTTAGCACATCGGATATCTTCTTAACTTACTAAACTTCCCCTCTGGTTCAGTCTTTTTTGGGGGGAGGTATTGGGGATTGAACTCAGGAGCACTCAATCACTGAGCCACATCCCCAGCCCTGTTTTGCATTTTATTTAGAGACAGGTTCTCACTGAGTTGCTTAGCGCCTCGCCATTGCTGAGGCTGGCTTTGAACTTGCAATCTTCCCGTCTCAGCCTCCCAAGCCACTGGGACTACCGGTGTGTGCCGCCATGGACGGCCTGTCCAGTCTTAAACTACATTGTGAGCATTTGTTGGTGCTGGGTTCCCTTCCCTGAAGGATGTCATGGTGGGAGGGCTAATCCCATGATCCCTCTTGTCTTGCTTCTCTCTTGCTCAACCTTGACCTATTTCTTCCCTTTTCCAGAACTCACTTGTTGTGTGTCAGACTGAGCGATCCCTGTTCCATCCTACAATCCAAGACTCGCTACTGTCCTGCTGATGTTCACAGCTGTGCCTGGGAAGGAGGCGGCTGGAGACCCCCGTGTGTACCCCACGGAGACCCGATGGGGAGGGAAGAAACTGTAGGAGTGCAGGTTCCAAATCTGCACCTCCACCTGTGAACCAGCAGCGCCTGGCTTCCTTCTCAGAGACCTCTTGTCCCCAGCAGACCTGCCTGAGAACCGAGGGGGGGCAGGAGCCACTCCTCCTCGCTTATTGGTGCCACACTCCCCAGGAATGGTGGCCTCGGGCGATGGAGGCTGCTGAGAGCTTGGAGCCCTGCTGCCCTGCATGTGTCTGTCCTGCTCTGTTTTATGCTGTATAGTTATGCACAGGAGGGATGTGGCAGCTTTCTGAGTGCATTTTTCTTAAGAAATGTGCTGGTGTTTACGCAGCTCATGGTATTTCCCCATCCTCGCTGTTCCTGTCACTTGGCATTTTCTCAATAGGCTGCTTTTTTTTTTTTTTTTTTAACTGGGGAAATGTTAGTCTTGACCCCCGCATCCCGGACTCCATCCCACTCCCAGCCCCTGCTGCACAGTGATCCGAAGATGAGGCAAGCCCCGGGCTCTGCTGGGCATCTGGTTCGTTGCTGCGGGGAGGCTGGTGTTCTCTCTGGTTCTGTGTTCCCCTGGAGTCTCTATCGAGAGCAGGTGTTAAACATGCCAAGTGTGTGCATCACTGTGACAAGCCATTTGCTTATTGCCCTGTTCCCTTACCGCTGAATCAGCTGACAAGCTGTAGCCAGGTGGGTCCACAGCGGGTCCTCAATCACCCAGGTTTATTTGAGGCAGTCAGATTCTGCTGGGCCTAAGGAAAGTGGGGTGAAGGACTGTTTGCAGGTATGAGTCTTTAGGTGGCTGCATGGTCCCCACCTCTCTGGCCAGTGTTTCTGTAGGCATATATGCCTCAGCCCCAGGAGACCTGCCTGATTTACTGGCTTGGGCTCTACCTGCCTTCCCTGGGCACAGCCCTTGGTGGCATTCCAGCTGGCCACTCTGCCATCTGTGCACACAGCTGCGGGCATTGGAACCACTCAGTGCCATTAGCTTCTTGAGCAGCCCGAGCCCAGCGCTCCCCTACCCTCCATCAGCAGGGTGGGCCTCAAGGCTCTGTGGAAAAACAACTGGAGTCTGACCTCCCAGTTTCTTGGGGGCTGCAGTTGGGGAGGGGGCAGGTGGATGGCTGTGAGGTGCCCCAAACAGGTTGTCGCAAGACAGAGTGGCAACAATTGACCTGACCTCCAGGAAGAGTGAGGTGTCACAGAAATGAGGATGACATTGGAAGTCTGTCCTCTGAGGCTGGCTTGGCTCTGAGGAGAACAAGGTGTACGATGGCTGAGGAGATGCTCAATCTCCATCTGCCCGTCCCTGCCCAATCTTGGCTTCTCTGAGGAGTTGCTTCTCAGTGTAGGTGTCTGAGCCGGTGACCAGCCATGTTCCCACCACCGATGACCCTTGGGGCAGTCCTGGACTTAGGGGCCTCTGTGGGAGAGGGGCCTGTGTCACAGGGCTCCATGAGACAGGTGGTACAGATACCAGGCATTTCCCCAGGGTTCCCACAGAGACGTCCCTTCAGCAGAGACTCTGGGGGAAGAGGCAGCGGGCCTCTGAGGTTTCTTCTCTAAAGAAAAAGAAAACACACAAAACTATCTGTGCACCTGGCCTGGTTTGACTGTAACATGTGGATACAGGGGACAGGGGTGCTCACCCCTCACTTCCCGCACCTAACCCGCATCACGTGGACCACTGGTCGCAAACAATTGGCTGTGATTGGCTGAATCCATTGCTTTGGGTCTCAGGTAAGGCAGAACATCATGGTCAAAGGATACAGAGGAAGACTGCTCTATTCATGACAGCCAGGAAGCAGAGAGAGTTCTGCTCACCAGGGACAAAATATAGACCCCAAAGGCACACCCCCCAGTGACCGACTTCCTCCAGCCATTCTTTGCCTGCCTATAGTCACCACCCAGTACAGTAGTCCTTTCAAATTATCAATCCACCTAGTGGATTAATCCACTGATGACCTTATAGATCACATAATCACAACGCCTCTGAATATTCTTGCATTCCTTCACACATGAGCTTTCACACTTCACAGCCAAACCATAACAAGCCCTTCTTAGCACCACGGCGTTGCCATCCTGTGTGGTTACGCCTGCCACCATTGTTCAGGAGTGTGTAAGTGGACGTGCTGAGACTATCTGCACAGCCCAGACGTCCGTGGTGCTGCTTCCTGGGCGAAGGCACGAACTCAGCAGGCAGCACCCCCCCAGTCGCTGCACCACCTCTGGTGTCCTAACTGTGGGGAAGAGAGGACTGCAGGCTGTTGCTGGGACCTCTCACTGTTCTGCCTAGTCCACAGCCCAGTTTCTGTCACTCAGGGCCCATCTGGGAAAGCAGAAACCACACCCCGTATTTCAAACATAGGGGCTTATTTCAGATTTGTCACAGAAAAAAAAAAAAAAAAAAAAAAAACAGAAAAAAGACCAGAGACGTGAATTGGGGAACAAGGAAGCGCCCACACCCTGAGTCCTTCAGGACAGCCAGGAAGCAGAGAGAGTTCTGCTCACCAGGGACAAAATATAGACCCCAAAGGCACACCTAGGGTCTATATATTTTGACAGTCCCTGTCAGAAAGGCTCCCTGTGGAGAGAAGGGGATAAGGAGCTTAACCGCTCCCTTCTTGCCCTCCAGATTTCTGCGGTGCCTCATGTTAGCTAACCCCAGCCAGAAGCCAGCTTCCCTGGGAGCCGGGGACAGCAACCCGCAGGGTCAGCCCCCAGCGTGTGGTAGGGCAGAGCAGCTGGAGGACAGGCCAGGAGCAGGCCTGAGGGCCAGCAGCCTGGGTTTATGCCCTGCCTGCTCATGTCGTGTCCCATCCCAGTGTTCATGCTGCTGTTCTGGACCCTGGTGAAGGAGACAGAGCTGCCCCCTTGGGTCTTTGTGGATTCTTTATCCTCCACCTGGAGGAACAGTGCTTTGGGGAGGGAGGGAGCCTTCATTCTTCGCAGTTTTTCCTGGTTTCCTTTGGGGGGATTTACTCATTTAGCAGCCCACCTCCCTACTCCCCTTAGGAAAGCCATGTCCCAGTTTTCTTTGCGCCCTCCTGTTCCTCTCCCCTGCGTCTCTGGTTCTCCAGACCAGAGACCCCTAACCCAGGGCATGCTTCCGTGCTCGTAAGTGCTTCCCCAGGATAATTCATTCCAGCGTAATGCCAGTGTGGACCGTCTGTCTAAGGAGATGCCATCTACTAATCAGTTTGTATTGTGTTTCCAATAAATTTCTGGAAATAACGCCTGGCTTTGTGCTCTCCTTGACTGGAACGGTGGCTCAGCTCTGAGGCTCTGGGTGCACACACCCCAGGACTCCATGTCAGGAGGTCCTTGTCTCAGGTAATGAGGCCAGGCCAGTTTGATTGTGTCCCCAGTCACACCAGACTCCCAGGAGCCTTTCTCTACTGAGGGACTGTGTTTTCTCATGTCACATCCTGACCCTGCACCCCCTAGGTCTTGGGGGTAGAAAGAACAGCAGGCAGACCTTTCCCTAGTAACTACCCCAAGGAGTCACAGTTGTACCAGTTCTGGGTACCCGTGCCAGGGAGCTTGGAATGGCACATTGAGGGGGCTTCTGTGGCTCAGCACAGGGCTTCCCTGTCCCACTGCCCTCTTTTAGTTTCTCTGTCAAGGTTACCACAGAGAAAGATGAGGTGACCCCTGTGTGTGACCCTTATTTGCTGGGTTTTATGAGAGGTGAAAGACAAAAAGCTGGCACTGAGTTTCTTCCAAGGGTTTCCATGGAGAAGTAGGACGTGTCCAGGTTCTTGGAGAGAGGAAAAGTTGAGATTAAGACCATGTTGGTAGTGTGCAGGAGTTCTGGGATGAAGGGGTCAGTACCGCTGGATGATGGTCAGGGGAGATTTTGTGGAAGCAGAGAGAACCCTCAGGGAAGAACACAGAGGCCCCTCCCTAGTGGAATCCCTCAGGTGCTGCGCGGTTCTGGTGCGTCTACCCCAACTTGTACTGCCTCCCTCCTGGGAGGTCATCTGTCACTAGTGTTGCGTGCCCTGCCTCTCCAGGAGGGCCACCCCTAATTCCAGGCCAGGGCCGCATTTTAATGCTCAGGCTTCCTGGGGAGCTGCTTCTCCTCTCCTGGATGAGTTGCCCTTGCTCTGAAGTGGTCCGGAGCTGCAGAGGTTCATGCAGAAACCCTGACAACTCCTCTAGAGCTGTGGCTGCTCAACTCTCCAGGCCTCTTTTGGCTTCTTGGTTTTCCAGGGCTGGGGATGGGACCCAGGGCCTAGCACATGCTAGGCAAGTGCTCTACTACTAGGTTACACCCCGGTCCATTTGCATTTTGTTCTGTTTGGTACTGGGGTTTGAACCCAGGGATGCTCTACCCCTGAGCTATACCCAGCTTTTTTTATTTTTTGAGACTGGTCCTTGGTAAGTTGCCCAGGCTGACCTGCAACTTGAGATCCTCCTGCCTCAGCCTCCCAAGTTGCTGGGATTGCAGGTGTGCACCACTGTGCCCTGCTGGCTCCTTGCTTAGTGACCCTTTTACAGGTTCTTTGGGAGATTGTTTTCTTATTCCCAGAATGAGCCACTTTAGACCTGTGTCATCTCTAAGCCCTCTTCACACAGAGCCAAGCCTCCTAATAATCCTGTCAGCTTTCTTCCCCAAGACTCTGAAATAGTACCATTCTCCTCACCAGAGGAGGTGACCTGCTACCTCTCATAATCAGACCCTCCTGCTACCCATAGGTTGTATCCACCCACCCACTCCCTAGGGCCTTGCAGTAGAGTATCCTGACCCAGACCAGACTGGTACTTACTAGCAGTGTAGCATTGGGCAAGTCCCTCAACCTCTCTGGGTCTCAATGTTTTCATCTGTAATATAGGTAATAATAGTGTCTACCTTATAGGACTAAAGAAATTGGGATGTGTAAGGTGCTTAGAAGAGGGCCTGGCACTCATAGTATGAATTGCTTTATCATCTCATTCTTATCGTTCCTTTCTTCTCCTGCCACTATATTAAATCTCTCCATTCAGTCCAGGAAACAATAGAAATGTCAACCACCAAAACCTCTGTCCTCTACTTAGCTTCATCTCAGCCCCTTATTGGCAAATTTGTTGAAAGAGGAAGGAATTGTCTCCATGACTTCAAATCTCATGAATTCCTCAATTCCTTAAAGTGCTCTGTGGCTCCCCTTCTGCCCCTCCTGCAGCCTCTCCATCAAGTCACTAATGACCATCTGATTGTCAAGTCCAGTGCTCTTCTTAGAGGGTGACATCTTAGCCATCCTCTCTGAGCCTCTTGAGCACTGGAAGCTGTGGTCGCACATGACTTTCCAGTCTTCGTGCACTAACCCCTCTATTCTCAGAGCTACACCAACATTCCGAGATGACACAGATTTTTTTCAGGAAAACAATTTTGGACATAGTAGCAGTCACCTCTGCATCCCTTTCATTGTCTCCCTTCACTTTTTTATCACCCCAATACTTTCAGTGCATGCATACGACTCCATAACCAACATACAACAGTAGGGAACCCTGGATGTGCTACAGGGTCTTGCTAATTTGCCCAGGCTGGCCTTGAACTTGCAATTCTCCTGCCTCACGCTCCTGAGTAGGTGGGATTGCAGGAATGTACCATCTAACCCTGCTGCACTTTTTTTTTTCTTTCTTTTTTTTTGGTATGGGGGTCTGGGGACTTGTCTCCCAACCTCAGTCCTTGAATCCCCTTGTCAACCCTCCCCCACCCAGCATTCACTGCAGAAAGGGATTGGCTTTGACCATAGTACAGTTCCTGTCTCCCGTGTCCAGTCCTGTGTGCAGGTGAGACCCCAGGCTCCTGAAAACCTGAGACAACAGGAGGCTGTGATTCCAGGTTCCAGGGCCTGACAGCTTCTGCCCTGTGCCTTGTGCTGCCACGTTGGACAGGCCTCTGGTTCCCAGGTATGGTGGCAACCACTCTCCCACAGATCCTCCAGTTCTCACCGCTGCCCTGCGCTCCAGTCTGGGCAAGCTGAGGGTAGACGGGCTGCAACCACAAAAGGGGCACGGTGGAGAGACCAGCCTGAGGTCCGAGTGCAGACAGGCCTGTTCAGGAAGCACCGTCTGATTCCCAAACTTCCCCGGGCCTCATCTGTACCATTTGGGCGCTGCCACCTTGTTGGAGAGCCATGAGGAGAAAATGAAATAATAATTTATGTAAAAACTACCAGGGGATTCCCTGGCACAGAGCTAATGTTAAAAAACAAAAAAAGTAGAAGGGCTAATTTTCATCATTTCCTATCTGGGATCCCCACCTCATGTACCTGGACTAAGACCCTCTTTCAGCTGCTGTGCCCTGACCCATGTCCTGGGATATTCCCTATTCTCTTCTTGGCTCCTGCAGGAGCAGGAGTAGTATATGTAAAATATATGGGAACAGAGGAAGAGGGAGAGAGATGACCTCAACTGTGGTAGGGGTCACACACAGTGAGGAATGCCCATCCACCAGCTGGAATACCCAGTGACAGACTCTACCATGTCCCTCGTCACCTGGTGCCCTGACACTACAGATGTAACAAGTCACTGGGGAGCACGTAGGGTGGGCCACTCATGATGCCTGTGTGTGTGGAGACCCCCAGGTGCTTGTTCTCCAGGAAGCCTTTATTAAGGTCCTTCTCAGTGGTGGGCAGTGGATCCGTGGGAACAGAGGGATGGGATGGCACACCACATGTTCAACCACAGGGGCTGATGGCTTTAGAGGGGAAGGGAGGTTACAGGGACCCTAGGAGCCTGGCATTCTGGGCTGGGAATGGCAGGAGGGTGAATGATGGCAATGTCCAGGGCTCAGCAGGGGGCACACTGAGGTGCTCAGCCAATGTGCATGGAGAATCTGTGGAGGTTGGGAGAGTTGTTTGGCAGGGGTGGCTCTCGGGATAGCACTCAGGCACATGGTGACTGCTTTGGGCCCACAGCAAGACATCACCCCAGGCACTTCTTGCGGGAAGGGTCCTGAGTCACAGACAGGGCCACAGAGCTTTGCGCTCGCTCCCACACGTACCTGGGAGGGACAGATGGGCCGGGGTCAGGCAAAGCCAGACCCTGAGGATTCCAGGGAAAGGAAGGCAGACCCACAGTTTGGGATCCCCCCTTTTACTCACGAGGTCCCAGCTGGCACCAGGAGGCTGTCATCTGGGGCCAGGCCCAAGTGCTCTTCCCCCAGTGTCACCACTGAGGAGCCTTCCTATGAAAGAAGAGCAGGAGAATCCAATAGAGGACGTCGGGCCTCAACATCTGTCTGAAAGTCCCCAAGTCTGCCTTGAAAGGAGACCTGAGAGCAGGGCCCTCCATGGGAGCACGAGCCCAGTAACAGCCTGATCCCCATGGACAGGAGGTGGTGCCACCCTCTCCCTGGGCCCCACTTGCCAGCTGCCACAGCCACAGATCCACGTCCTGTTCCAGGCCTCTACTCCTGCCTTGCCCATGGACGATTACCTGGTGGGAGGTGAAACAGATTTTTCTGCTGCTTCCTACCCCACTTGAGAGATGGCCTTGAACCTGACCCCCAGACACCAGACCTAAGTGGGGCAGGGGTGGGGCCTATACTAGCCGCATCCTGTGTGCGGGGCAGAAACCAGAACGTGGAGAAGAAGACCTCCCTGCAGCCCATGTGTTCCTGGGCATCATGCAGGCCTGCCTCCACAAACGCATCCGAGGTTCCTCTCAAGTTGCTCACCTGAGCATGCGCCAGGGCACACTAGGGACACACACCTCAGCTTCCTACAGGGTGCCCACCTCCCTTCCTCTGTGGGGTGTTATGAGTCTGGCCGAAGTTTGAAGAGGGATGAGGAGAGCCAGGCTGAGGGCTTTCCACCTGTGCTGGCCTGAAAGCCTGCAGCCTCTGTGCTCAGTGACTATTTGTTGGTGTAAACAGGTGAGATCAGGGTGTGAAAGTGGCAGATGCAGGCCAGCAGGCGGGTGCAGGGCCAGACACCACTGCTGCATGAGGGGGTGGGACGGGATTCGGGGTCCACCTTCTACTCTCATAACTCTGCCTAAGCTCCGGGCAGCTGTAGTACCAAGAAGAAGCAGGCCAGACCTCTAAGGGCAGGCCTGTGCCCAGTGAGCATGGCTTCCTGGGGGCACTAATCCTGCCCAAATGGGATGTGCCAGGGCAAACTGCAACACAAGGGAACCACCAGCCTGCAGGCAGCTCACCCTGCTGCCCTCCTGATCAGTCCCCGCAAAGTACAGGGTGATCTTTTTGAAACACTACTCTGGTCTCCTGGTTCCTCTGCTTCAACGCTTGAAGCCCCATTGCCTCTAGGACAAGTTCTTCCACCTTGCCAGACCAGCAGACCCGCCGGGACTTGGGCCCTGCGTACTGCTTCACGGTCTACTGCCTGGCCCCCTGCCTCCCCTTCCCCACCCCAGCTCTCAACAACCTCAGCAGAGGTGCATGGTCAGCAACCAGGGCCAAAAAGGGCTTGTGCTCAGTGCTCCAGCCAAATCTGGAACTTGCTGTCCAGCTTGCAGTCCAGACTGGTTCAAGCCTTCATGCCTTTGCTTCTGTTTCTCTCTCATCTAGAACATCCTCTCCACCTCCCTTTCCAACCTTTGCAAATGCCTTTAAACCAGCTTTAAACTCAACTTGCCTATAACCTCCTCCAGGAAGCCTTTGTTGACTTCTCTCCCTATTGGAATTGTTCCTTTACCTCCTCTGGCTTCTTGTAGCTTCTCTATCAAATAATGTATCTCACTATTGTGGCAGTTGTGGATTAACTTGTCTGAGAACTTGGCTAGACCACACACTCTGTGAGGCAGTGACTCCATCCTGCTCTTCTGCCAAAGCCTGAGACAGAATAGGCACTCAATAAATGGTGAATGAAAGGTCAGCTGTGTTTGGCTCTTTCTCTGAGCATGTCTACCCAATCCTTATCCCAAACAGATCTCCAGCTTCCAGGATGTGACTGACCAAAAGCTCAGAATTCCTAGCAGGAGGTAAGCTGCAGATGCTCAGGAAGCTGAAAGCAAAGAGAGATTACTTGGGAGCATGAAGCCTCCAGCCATAGCAAAGCCCTTGCTCTCTGAGTGAGGGAGGAGGCAGCATTACCTGTGTCTCATAGGTGTCCCCAAACAGGTTGATGGATCTGCCTGCCTGCAGCTCCCTGCGGTGGCCATCCAGCCAAGCCTTCAGGGACACGGGCTCCATGATAGATCGTGTACTCAGAGGAAATGGTGGTTCCTTGAGCAGTTGGTCTGCATCCAAGGTGTGATTATGGTCAGTGTCCTCTGGGCTCAGCCTCCCCAGGCCCAGAGGCACAGATCCAGAGAGCCCAGCTCTCAATTGACCAGGCCCTGGATCCAACTCAATTACTAGTAGCCACGCAAGGGTACCATTCAGTGCCATCTCCCTCAGTACCTTGAGTACTGGGCAGAGTACCCAAAAAGAGACTCCTGGGATCTAGGGCCAAAACCCATCCTATTGTGGAAAGGGAGTGAGGGGGAAGATGGTTGCCAGTGGCCTCACCAGGGATGGGTTTTCCTGTTCTGCACTGCTCGGAGCGGAAGAACCTGCAGGGACAACAGGGAGGAGAAAGGAATGGCAGGTATTCCTGCTTGAGTAGTCGGGGAGACACACACGCCATACACTGTTGGGTGCAGGAGCCCACACACACTTGTGGGGCCCTCACACACTTTCCCTCCCAGCTCTGTGGAGCAGTCTCTCCAGTGGCTCCCTCCAGCCCCAACCCCCCGCAGGAGGGGAGACTTTCTCCCTAATTCCCAGGCATGGTGGCACCAGGCCAGCAGATGCTGATGTGCAGCCCCAGGACAGCGAGGGGCTGAGGGCTCACTCTTGGATGATGGGGGCCAACTGGGTGCCGAGATCCTTGCAGTAGAACCACTTCTCAAACAGGACATCCACGGTGTCCCCCACGTAGTACCTGCCAAAACAGAGGACAGGCAACCTGGCTCCCCATTTGGGCAGCCCCCGGGCATCCATGCTCAGGCCTGCTTCTGCCTGTGGGCTCTGGGCCTGGCCCTACAGAGCTGGGGGCTGCCTGTTTTCCTGGGTCAGCGCAGCCTGTGGGCAGTGCTTATATACCTACCCCTGACCCTTCAGAAGCATCAGTGTGCCCAACCTAGAAAGCAAATAGAACCCCGAGACGCAGGAAAGCTGAGCGACTTACAGTCAGACAGTTGACCTTAAATAAAAGCCAGGGACTTGACATTAAAATGCTACAAAAAAAAAAAAAAAAAGCCACTCCAAAGGCCTGAAAGGGCACTGAAGTTCCATTATGAAGCTTTTGGTGGCCAGCCCTATCCCAGGAGCTGGGTGGATGCAGCGTGTATCTGTGAACCATCTCCATGAGCAGGACCACCTAAGTCAGGCAGTCTTAAAAGCCTGGAGAGTATCTAATCCAGGTGTGTTTTTCCCAAAAAGGAAGCTGAGGCTGAGCCTGAATCCAGGGCTGGCTAGCTGCAGTGCTCAAGGTCAAGGTTCATAGAAACTTCAGTGTCTAGCATACAGAGATGTCCCCCAAATGAGGATTTCTTGTCTTCTCGGGGTCATGGCTGTCTTTGAGAACCACAGCAAATCTCTGAACCTCTTCTCCAGGGAAGGCGACATGCATGCATACACAGCCTTCAGTGGGTCCCTGCACCACCTCCCCCCACTCCCCTGCCCAGCTCATCTGTGCTAGGGGCTTCTGTCAATTGAATGCCCTAATCCCCAGGCCCAGTTCTTAGGCCAAGCCAGCTCTGCCTGCCCTTCAACTCCCACTGAAAAAAGAGAATCAGTCCTGCTGATGGAGGTGGTCTACAGACACGTGGCATCCACTCACCTGGCACCCTAAAACTCCTCTTGGGATGGAGCTGGGCACTAGAAAGCTTCATAATGGGACTACAGTGCCCTCCAGGAATTGCCTTCAGAATGACATTTTAATGTTGAGTCCCTGGCTTTTATTAAAGGTCAAAAGTAGCCAGATGAAATCCGATATTGAATTTGCTGTAAAATGTTATTGAGGACTCTGTCCTCTCCATCACTGAAGACTTCTTCTAAAAAGTCCCTTGGAGAATCTCCTTCTAGAATCTAAGGCCAGGTATCTGTCTGTCCAACATATTATACAGTAGATTATTATGAAGCTATTAATATTGTATTTTTTGAAAAGATTTAATAGAGAAATACTCATGAGTTTTTTTAAGTACAAAAACCAAAATTCAAACCCACTCAGGCAAGAAGACTGCAATGTTGTCAGGTACAGATATGCACAGAAAAAAGGTGGAAATCTAAGTGCTTCTAGATTTAATTGGGGATGACAAACACTCCCCCTTCCCCTTTGCTTTTGTCTGTTTTGTTTTCTTGAGAAATAATTCATATACCATAACATTAATCCTTTTCCTGAGACGTAATTTTATTTTTCATTTTGCATTCCTGCACTTTTCCAGATTTTGAGTGAATGTGTATGACTTAGGTAATTTGAAGGGGAAAAAAAAAGGAAGTATTTTTAAAAAGTACCCATTAAAAGAGCCAGGCTGGGTGGCAAACACCTGCAATCTCAGATACTCAGCCTGAGGTCAGCCAGGGCAACTTTGTGAAGCCTTGTCTCAAAATGAAAAATAAAAAGGCTGGGAGTGTATCTCAGTGGTGGAGTGCCCCTGGGTTCAATACCCAGTACCGAAAAAAAAAAAAAAAAGGCAATTTTAGCAATTATAGCAGAAGATGTGGGCCAAAATATCCTGACCCTAGTAACTTGATGAGAAAATTAGATTTTCTTAGTGAAAGGGCTGGGGTGTAGCTCAGTGGTAGAGCATGTACTTAGCATGTGTAAGACCTTAGGTTCCGTCTCTAGCACAAAGGGACAAACATTAATTTTAAAAAGTTTAACTTTTGGAAAAATCTTTGGTCCTCTTTGCTTCAGAGGCTTCCTCTTTTCAGAGGATAACAATTGGGCAACTGATTAGACCAAATGTGAATCACAGCTGTATAATCAGAGTACACAGCTGGGCCTGCATTCTTTCCTTGGTGTTGATCTTGGCCCTGCTTTCCTAGGGTCTAGAAGGTTAAGCTCTAGCAAGTTTCCCTTCCCTGTACCCAGTATGAAAGATAACAGTACCTACTCCCTAGAGTCATCTGGGGGACATTCAATGAATAAATACATACAAAGCTCCATCCCAGTGCCTGGCCCACAGCCGGGTGCTACCCAGCTATCTGTGCCTATTGTGGATTGGGCTGGCCCAGACTAGACCCTGGAAGCTGAGGTTGTGAGACGCAGCAGTGCTTGGGCTGCCCTGGGTAGAGGGTCCTCTTGGCTGTCCCCCACCTCCCTTTCTGCAGCGCCCCCCCCCCCCGCTGACTCATGTAGGAAAACAGGTTCTGACTCCAGCCAGAGGGTCATCAGTCTGAATGGGCTCCTGGGTATGGGGCAGAGACAACATCCCCCATACCCATCACTGAACACCCTCACCCTCCCAGTTAGCCAGCAAATAAAGAACTCTATTGCATCTGGCAGCCAACCCCTCTACCCTCTTAGTGACCAGGAAGTGCTTTCTTGAGTCAACCTGGGATTCCTTCTGTGCAGTATTGAGCTGCACCCCTCTGCTACTAGCCTGCTGTTTGCCCCAGGCCCCAACAGGGGCATTTACCTGAGCCCATCTAGCTCGGTTTCCAGCCGTCTCCGCTCAATCACCAGCCCCATGGTGTTGGCAAACCTCTGCGGGGAGTGGGGCACCCCAGCAGGCAGGAGGAATATCTGTAGTGGTGGAGACCAGGTGCCCAGCAAGGCTGCCATCCCTCACGGAGACATCAGCTCCTGCAGCTTCCCAGGCATCCCAGCTCACCCGCAGGGCACAGGGGACATTGCCATCCATGCTAGGCCCTGCTCTCTGCTAGGTCTGCCCAGGGAACCAGGGTGGGGAATGTGCTAGCACTTGGTGGCCCAGAGGAGAGAGTGCCCAGGGACCAGGCAGGGGCAGGAAAGTGTGAGGAGGACAGAGCCTCAGCCAAGGCTAGGGCGAGTGGCCAGGGTGGGCTCCTGTTCTGGCGCCCTTTGCCACCCCATCTGCTGGGATCCAGCCTCACCTCTCCCTGCCGAATGACCACATCCCGGTGCTTTCCCCGCTCCAGGACTCGGAGAACCATGTCTCCTTCCAGCTGATAAAACACCTGTGGAACAGCAAAGAGCCTGGGACGCCCTGCTCCCTCCTCCAGGTCCTTGGTCACTGCCCAGGCCCGGAGTTCTGACTAGGAAACCCGAGAAACTTCCCAAAGACCTTAGGTTTATGAGCAACTCCATCACTTCTGTCTTCCCTGACTCAGGCCATTGGCAGCAGCAGGGGAGACACACATCTTACATCGCGAACTCGCAAGTGATGATCAAAATAACCCAGGATGCAACAGCCGGTGTCTCGCTGGGGGCAGGAGGCTGGGCAAGAGCCTCCTTGGAGACAGCCAGGTAAGAAGAACCACCCTTTCACAGGGGCCAGGGGTTGTGCCAAGCTCTTTCATGTACATTATCAGAAATCTTTACAACTTCCAAGGGCATTGTTAGCCTGTTCTGCAAAGGGGGAAAAAAGAAAGGAAGGAAAAAGAAAACTGAGGCTCAGAGCACAGAGCAACTTGCCCAAGGGCACACAGCTAGATAGTCCTGAAGCTGCCTTTGGGACTGGAGCCTGTGCACGGTGCTGGGCCTGGGCTGGTCCTTCCGGCCAGTGTGATGCTCAGGCATTGGGAGCTGTGGAGGTCAGCAGCCTAGGGCGGGGACTGTGCTCTTTCTGGGGGGCTCCTACCACATTTCCTTATTCTATCCTAAGACCCAATTAACATGCTTACTGAGATGGAAGCGAAGCGTGGAGGAGAAGGAGGAGGAGGAAGAGGAGGAGGAGGAGGAGGATTCGATCCCTCTCTACAGTTTATACATTGCTTGCACAGGTGTTAAAAGCCCCAGCCCAATAGTTGAAGGACTTTTAATAATAATAATAATAATTAATAATAATAGTGGTAATTATCATGTAAGGAATTAATGGAGATAAAGGCTGCAGTCACAACATCTACTAAGAGAAACCCAGCTGAACAAATTAAGAAATGAAGAAGCTAGAGAAATGTGGCCCCTAAGCCTGCTGCAGGGTACATGTGGACACAAGGCCACCATGAAGGGCATCATGGCATAGGGCATGAAGAATCTTCACAGTCCACACTGGTATAGAACCTTCCATGCTAAAACTGGACATGTCCTAGGTCACACAGGTCACCTACATCTTTGCCCTGGAAATAGCATCTTAGAAATGTGGCCTCAGTAATCAACGGCCCTTAGTCTGCTAGGCCTCTGTGTGCTCTCAGTCAGTTCAGTTAACCTCTCTGTGCCTCTGTTTCCTCTTCTACAGCGTGAGTAGTATCTGCTCAGAAGGCTGCTGTAAAGCCTACACTCAACACAGGGTGAGCACTCAATATACCTCTAATTGTTAACATCAGCAGTTGTCGGAATTGCAAAAACAATGCCAATAATAATAGAAGAAATATAAGCGTTTGATGATATATTCAAAATATGGAACACTATGCAACCATTAAAAATAGGCTTTTGAATAACAATAAAAATGGCAAAATGTGCTGGGCATGATGGTGCATGCCTGTAATCCCAGCAACTCTAGAGGATGAGGCAGGAGTATTAGAAGTGAAAGGCCAGCCTCAGTGACTTAGAAAGACCCTGTCCCTCCACCCCCCCCCCCAAAAAAAAAGTACTGGGTGTGTAGTTCAGTGGTAAAGCACCTTGGGTTCAATCCATAGTACAATTAAAAAAAGAGGGGAAATGTTAAATTTACAATTTTTTTTACACTGTTGAGGATTGAACCCCCCAGAAAACATATTTATTATGTCTTCTACAATAAACAATATTATGTTCATTATTTAAAATAACCCATAACATGTAATCCCAGAAACTCAGGAGGCTGAGGCAGGAGGTCATAAGTTCAAGGCCAGTCTGGGCAATTTAGAGAGGCCCTCAGCAATTTAGTAAGGCCCTGTCTCCAAATAAAAAAATAAAGGGCTCACCCACAGGGAACAGGGGACATTGCCATCCATGCTAGGCCTCAGTGATTAAAGGCCCTTGGGTTCAATTCCTGATACCAAAAATAAATAAATAAATAAATAATAAACATTTTAAAAGGGGTGCTGGAGATGTAGCTCCGTGGCAGAGCTCCCTTGGGTTTAATCCCCAGTTCTGCAAAATAAATAAATAAATAAATAAATAAATAAATAAATAAATAAATAAATAAAATAAGAACAAATAAATAAAACCACCTATAAACATTACCGAATACAAATGAGACAAAAACTACTTCTCGGGAGCAATTCAGCATGTCCCATCCCCTCCCCAAGCTGAGGGAAAACCCATGTATGCATATGTCTCAGGAAGGGAGGAGGGACCCTGGAGTTCTGAGGAGAGGGCCTAGTCTTCAGGTCCCCAAAACATCTGGAAAGGTGGGAGGAGAGTCTGGGGTGATGTCTGGGTCAGATCCAAACCATTTCCGGGCAGGCTGCAGGGCATTAGCCACCACTGAACAAAACAAGAAGGCAGTGGGGTTCTCCTCAGCCTTGTCCCCTACCCAGGGGCCTGTCCTGTGTTGGGGGCAGGTCTGGCCGGGAGCAGCAAGCCAATCACTGACAGCAGAAAATCTCAAATGGCTGTAGGCAGTCCCAAAGGAATTCTGCTGATTTGTAAGAAAATGATGTTGGGGGGCTGGGGATGTGGCTCAAGCGGTAGCGTGCTCGCCTGGCATGCGTGTGGCCCGGGTTCGATCCTCAGCACCACATACAAACAAAGATGTTGTGACCGCCGAGAACTGAAAAATAAATATTAAAAAAAATTCTCTCT